TCAAAGTGTCCCCAGTGGCCCAACATGGCCGTGAAGGGAGGCTTCCCTATTCCATGGGACCAGGGATTTTTCCATGTGGTGTGTGACATTCCTCTCCCTGCTATGTGCTTTTTCATTTGTTTTTTTTCTTTTTTTTTTCTTCCTCCTCTTTTGTGGTGCTGGGGAGCAAACCCAGGCCTTCTTGTATTAGGAATACTCTACCACTGAACTCCATCCTTAGACACTGCTGTGCTTCTAGAGAGAATGCCAATAGCAGGGCTCCTTAGTGTCACATGTACTACAGTAAGCAATAGGTACTGGGAAGTACATGATAGGCATCATGGAGTCAATCAAAACATATTTTAGTGGTAATTATTCCTGTATTAGGAGCCAGGAATTAGCTGGTGAGTTAAAATATACATTATTATAGTATATATATTAAATATTTTGGCTCTTAATAATGTAAAAATAAAAGTTAAAATGTTTAAAATAATTGTGTTTATGCCTCACAAAGCATAAATACAGTAGGGTGCAGTGGCCCTAGGGTTGGTTAATTCAGAAGTTCCACAGAAGCCTTCGGATCAGCTGTTTTCAAGTTCTTGGTTCCCTTGTGATTGCAAAGTGTCTACCATAGCTCTAGGAAGTACATTCTCAAATGTATGCAAATTAAAATAAGAAAATAAAGCCAAAAGGAAGATCTTCCCCTCTTTGAGTGCCTGTGCCTTCCTTTTCTAGAAGCTCTTTGCTTCCTTCCAGCTTTCAATTCTCAGCAGATATGCCCAAGCCTGAAGAGACCAAACTGTATCACAAACCAATTCCTAAAACAAGAAATAGCAAAAGAAATGAAATGCCTAACGTTGGCTTTTCCAGTCAAATTTTGTCTCCTGGATTTGAGCAAGGGCTCAGTCTTTACACAATTCAGGTCTCTTAGGAAGAAAGGAAGGACTAATGTTAGTTAAGAAACCAGCAGCAGATAAATGAATGTGAGGCTTATAAATGTTTCAGGAAGGAAGTGAGAAAATATTCCCTGGACCAGTGATGGCGAACCTTTTAGAGATGAGTGCTCAAACTGTGACTCCAGACCCATTTATTTATCACAAAGTGTCAATACTACAATTAAACTCGAATACTGGGGTTTTAGTTTAGGAAAAAACAACTCACACAGTAACATCTTTTGTCTTAAAAGAAAAACAACACATGTGCCATGGGTTTGCTCTGCTGCCCTAAATGTTGGTGATCAGAGTCAGAAGACCGAAGCTCCAGTGGCAGCATCACTCAGCAGTGGTAAGACCTATGCATGTCAATTCCCACACAGGTAAAATGGAAAATCAGCTTTATCTCACTGGGTTGCTTCAAGGATCAAATACATTAGTACATGTGAGATATCTAGTCCAGTGCCGGGACCGCAGGAACTACCCAGACAATAGCATTCCCTTCTCGGCACCCTCAGGCAGCAGAGTCTAAATCATCAGCTAGCTGACATTGGCTGAGGCCTGTGATAGCAGGGAATGCAAGCGGTTCCTGGGAGTTGATGCTATCACAGTTGCCAGGAGCCACCAAGGTCCCCAAAATACTTTTGATAATTCCATTTCTTTCTCTTATATTTCAGCAGCATCATTACTCTTGGCAATTCCTTAAAAAAAAAAAAAAATTCTACCTTGCCCTGTGCTCTAGACAACCTTCTAGTTTACTTCCTACCTCCTGTGTAGCATCTTCTTTCTTATTCTCTTATACAATCTCCTCTTCCTCCCCCGCCCCTTTCTTCTTTTTCTCCTTCTCCTCTACCTCCTCCTTCTTCTCCATCTTCTGTTTTCCCTTCCTCCCCACTTTTCTTTCTTTCTCTTTCTCTCCTTCTCCCTTTGCTGCCTCCTCTTCCTTTTCCTCCTCCTTCCCCTCTTCTTCCTCTTGTGGAGAAGAGGGAAACCGACAGACTGAGAGGAACAACCAGAGAGCAAGGAGACCAGGCGTGAGGGTTTGAAGTCCTGAAAGCCAAGTCCAGAGACAAGGTGAAAGACAAGACAGAGTCAAGGACAAGGTGAAAAATGTGCCATCTGCTGGTAGAAGTGTGATGGGGGCTGCCCTGGCCTGGACATGTCCCTAAAACTTCATGGGTTGGAAACAATCTGCAAATGTGTATGCTAATGGTATTTGGAGGTGGGGACTTGGGGAGGCATTGGGTCTGGGTGAGGTCATAAGGGCAGACCCCATGGAGGCATCGGTGGCTTTATGAGAAGAGGAAGGGACACTTGAGCCAGCACACTTACTCTCCTGCTCAGTCTCACCATGTGACGCCTCGTCTTTGCCATGATATAACAAGGCCCTTATCAAATGTTGGTGTTGTGCTCTTGGTGAGCCAAGAGCTCAATCCACCTCTTTTCTAAATTACCTGCTCTCAGGCGCTTTGATCCAGCAGCAGAAAACCAGAGAAGTTGGAGCTGAAAGCGGAGTGATGGACTGGGTGATGCGGAGGTCACTGATGACCCAGACAAAGCAGTGAGAGGGAAGTCGAAGGCAGCAGTACAGACAACTGTTCCAAAGATCTTTGTTGTAAAGGGGAAATGAAGAATGCAGTGACACCCAATGGAGGGTGTGAAGTCAAAGGAGGCCTTTTATTCACATTTTTGATAAGAGATCTCATATGCGGGGATACAGGTTTAAGGAGAAAGAACAGGGTGTGAAACAGGGCCTTGGGGCAGGGACAGTAAATTGGCTAGAGGACCACTGATCAGTTAGTTGGGCTGAGTTGACCCTGGGTAATTCATGTCATCTCCACAGTTTGTGTTTGAGCCTTGCTATCTCTCCTCAATTCCAGCTCAGTCTTTTCTTCCTCCACTATTTCAGAGAATGTTATTTTCATGCACCTAGTTTCCAAAGCAGATGGTTGGGAGTCATCCATTACTCCTCAGTGGTGGGTGACCATTTGCTATCATTCGACTCCTTCATGTCCTTTGACTTTTTCCTCCTTAGTCCAGAGGCTCACCACTTTTCACCAAATGGGCCAAGTAGGCTACCACATTATTACTCTGTAGGTTATCTCCCTCATGAAGGTGTAAGTTTTCTGACCTCAGCTCAATAAACATTGGTAACATCCAATGAGGGAAAATTAGGTCAATAATAAAGAATTACCTGGTGCCTTCGAAGAGTTCACCAACAAGTATAGGACAGTATTTTCCATTTTCTGAGATTGAAGATCCTAATAAGATTACTGACATTAAGAAATGGGAAGAAAGGAGCTAAAGGTGTAGGGAAGGTGGGATGGGTAGGGGAAGGGTAAAAAGGGAAAAGAAAAAAATGTGAGATAATGAAAAGATGGAAATAAAGTGTTTGTAGATGGGGAGGGGAGGAGGGGGTGAAGGGAGGGCAGAGGTAAGGGGAAAAAATGAGAATCAAGACCTGTCATGTAGAGGTACAAGATCCCAACAATGAATGTAACTGTACTGTATCCTTAAAATGTACCAATAAACTCAGTTAAGGCTGAAAAAAAAAAGAATGAGAAATTAGATTCATTCACAGGAAAATGTATGCATAGGGGAAGTGGGAAGGGTAGGGGAAAGGAAATAAGGGAAAAGAAAAAAAATGAGAAAATGGAAATAAAGTATTTCTAAATAGGGAAGGGAGATGGAGCTGAAAGCGGAGTGATGGACTGGGTGATGCGGAGGTCACTGATGACCCAGACAAAGCAGTGAGAGGGAAGTCGAAGGCAGCAGTACAGACAACTGTTCCAAAGATCTTTGTTGTAAAGGGGAAATGAAGAATGCAGTGACACCCAATGGAGGGTGTGAAGTCAAAGGAGGCCTTTTATTCACATTTTTGATAAGAGATCTCATATGCGGGGATACAGGTTTAAGGAGAAAGAACAGGGTGTGAAACAGGGCCTTGGGGCAGGGACAGTAAATTGGCTAGAGGACCACTGATCAGTTAGTTGGGCTGAGTTGACCCTGGGTAATTCATGTCATCTCCACAGTTTGTGTTTGAGCCTTGCTATCTCTCCTCAATTCCAGCTCAGTCTTTTCTTCCTCCACTATTTCAGAGAATGTTATTTTCATGCACCTAGTTTCCAAAGCAGATGGTTGGGAGTCATCCATTACTCCTCAGTGGTGGGTGACCATTTGCTATCATTCGACTCCTTCATGTCCTTTGACTTTTTCCTCCTTAGTCCAGAGGCTCACCACTTTTCACCAAATGGGCCAAGTAGGCTACCACATTATTACTCTGTAGGTTATCTCCCTCATGAAGGTGTAAGTTTTCTGACCTCAGCTCAATAAACATTGGTAACATCCAATGAGGGAAAATTAGGTCAATAATAAAGAATTACCTGGTGCCTTCGAAGAGTTCACCAACAAGTATAGGACAGTATTTTCCATTTTCTGAGATTGAAGATCCTAATAAGATTACTGACATTAAGAAATGGGAAGAAAGGAGCTAAAGGTGTAGGGAAGGTGGGATGGGTAGGGGAAGGGTAAAAAGGGAAAAGAAAAAAATGTGAGATAATGAAAAGATGGAAATAAAGTGTTTGTAGATGGGGAGGGGAGGAGGGGGTGAAGGGAGGGCAGAGGTAAGGGGAAAAAATGAGAATCAAGACCTGTCATGTAGAGGTACAAGATCCCAACAATGAATGTAACTGTACTGTATCCTTAAAATGTACCAATAAACTCAGTTAAGGCTGAAAAAAAAAAGAATGAGAAATTAGATTCATTCACAGGAAAATGTATGCATAGGGGAAGTGGGAAGGGTAGGGGAAAGGAAATAAGGGAAAAGAAAAAAAATGAGAAAATGGAAATAAAGTATTTCTAAATAGGGAAGGGAGGAGGGGGTGAAGGGAGGGCAGGAACAAGGGGAAAAAATGAGATCCAAGACCTGTCATGTAAAGGTACAAGATTCCAATAGTGAATGTAACTGTACTGTATACCTAGATTGTACCAATAAACTCAATGAGAAAAAAAAAATCCTGGGCCAGGGATTTAATTCAGGGGTTCTGCTGCCTGCCTGGCAAGAGCAAGGAATCCAATGAAGATCCTGAGGACACTCTGCTGCTCCTTGCTGGACTTGGTTGGAAATGCTGCTGTGAAATGGAAGGTAAAGGCAAACCTTGAGGTAGTACTTTAGCAGCAACCCTCATTTGTATTTTAATGTAAACGAGTTTCAGATCCTTCTTGAGAAAAGTGTGGCTGGGAAATAGTGGTAGTTTTGGGCCCAGCAAGCAGGGCAAAGGGCTTACAGGAGTGGAATGGGGAAGGTGAAAGGGGAAGGAGGTGGCTTAAGGCACTCCACTTGGCTTCCTTCACACATTCATCCTGGGCCAGTCCACAGCTTCACCCCCTTCCTGAGCAGAGGGCTCTAGAAATGCTGAATGAAAAAGGAGAACATCTGGCCTACAACTTAGAATTACCTTTACGGATTGATCAGATTCTAACGTTCACGGGGTGCATCTGGATGGTGGCCTTACAGTCTGTATTTCTTTAAAGAGGAAACTGACCTACATTTTTGACTAATTTCTCTTGGGGTAGCTTCTGGGCAGTGTCCAGCCACCTCTAGACCAGGGCAGCTGTAGGCCCGGCAGGGAGAACGGTGCAATTCAGATCCAATTTCCTAGAAGCAGTGTGTCGACTAAAGTGGAAGGAAGGGAAGCACCCACCTCGGGCCCTTCTCTGCTTAGAAGTCTCCTTGTAGGTGCTCTCAGGGGGCCTTCATTTTTCTCTGGATCTCCTTGCCATCTCCAGAGTGGGAATTGGGCTCATCTGTACTAGCAGCAATATTTAACATGCACCGGCTTAGAACCTGAGCCAGGTGTTTCACAGAGATTCATTTGCTGCTCTCAGGACCTCAAAAGATGCATCCCATTCCTATCTTCATTTTCAGATAAAATAAGTGACGCTTAGAGATGCTAAGTCACTTGTCCAGAAACAGTAGTGCCATGATCAAAATCAGGCTACCAAATATATATAATTTTCTTTATCCATTCCTCTGTTGATGGGCATCCTGGCCTATTCCATATTTTAGTTATGGTGAGTAGTGCTACAAAAAAACATGGGTACAGAGGCTGCTCTTTGATGTGCTGATTTCATTTCCTTTGGATGTGTACCCAAAAGTTGGACTGCTGCATCACATGGTAAATCTATTTTTAGTTTTTTGAGGAACCACATTACTGTTTTTTTGTAATGAGTGTACTAATTTACACCCTCCCCAACAGCATAGATTTTTTTCTGCACCTCTTTGCTTGCATTATTTTTTTAAAAAATAATAGTTATTCTATCTGGGGGGAGATGGTATCTTTGTATGGCTTTGATTTGCATTTCTCTATGGTTAAAAATCATGTTTTTCAGAAGAACACTATTGATTAAATTTTGGATACTCTCCACTGGAGATACCTGTGAGGCGCGTAACTGATGTCCATTAGGTCACTGCCGGGTCCAACACTATTCCTCTAGTAATTATGATGGAGGTATGTGGTCCAGACTAAATCATGCATAGTATCTTGACTCCCAAACTGCAATGACTGATTCATAGAAAAGCCACGTGAGCCTCCCTTGGCCAAATTCCTCCTCTTAATGTGAGCAGGGAGAAGAAAGACTTTTATATCTTGGCTAAAGAACTGTGAACATATAAATGTAGAGTTGTTGATAAGTATGTTCCTCTTTTGGGATTATATTGGCTTGAAAAAATGAAGATGATATACAAAGACAGAAGAGACGGGAAGATCGAGAACACAAGAACATCCTTTCTTCTTTAGTGATATGACCTAAATGTCACAATCTATTTCTCTGTCTTTTGTCTCTTTCTTTTCTGTCTTACTTTGATTTAGCTAGTTTTTAATGAGACTTTATCATATATAATAATGACAGCACTAATAATCTACTGAAGCAGTAAGATTTATAATAGAGAACTCAGACAGAAACAGAAACAGACAGAAAAAGGGAGGGGAGAGAAGGAAGAAGAAGAAGAGGAAGAGGAAGAGAAGAGAGGAGATCTTTCCTGGAGACATATTTTTGAGAGTTGCTGAAACAGAATTTGAAGCCAGGGAGTGGACAAGATCACTGAAAAAGAGAAGACTATTGTGGTCGAGACTCAAAGGACCTCTAACACTAAGGATCCAGGAGAGGAGGATGAACAGCTCCCAAAGAGGTGGAGAAAAGTGACTAAGTCATCAAAGGAAAAGCAGGACAGCGTAGAGGTCCAGATGCCAGAGTCTTAATGAGGTGGTGGTTGTAGAATGTTTGGGAATGTATAGAATATTTGGGAGAGGAGAAGTACAATAAGAACCGAAAACCAGCCAGGAGAATGGGCAGTGTAGACATTATCGCTGCCTTTACCACAAGCAATTTCAGTGAAGTGGAAAGGTCCGAAGTCAGCTGCAGTGAACTGAAGACTAAATGGAGGTGAGCAAGTAAAACAGTACTTCTGAGACTCTTCACTATAAAAAGGAGAAAATGGAAAGGATGGTGACTGGAGAAGGATCTCAAGAATGGATACTGAAGTTTGGATTTTGTTTTTGTGTTTTAGGATGAAAGAGACTAAAATAAAATTATATTTAAAGATGTACTACAGCACATAGGAAGAAGCAGATAACTCTGCCTGCTTGACTAGAGAAAAGTTTCTCCACAAAGATGATTTTGAGCTGAGTCTTGAATAGAAAGTAAAACTTTTCCAACAGAAGAAGGCATTACATGCAAGAGGAGATTGTAAGCAAATACACAGTGGTGTGTTTGGAGGATAATTAACAGGTTGGTGCGTAGAAAACTTTAGTTTTGGAGACCCTGTTACAAAGAAAGGAAAATCCACACAAGGCCTTTGGGGCCCTTTGTCTTTCTTCTCAAGTCCATCTTGAAATGAATTAGGTTCAGCTGGATTATCTTTAAGGCCTTCTAAAATACTAAAATCCATAGCTAATGGCGATCTGTCTCAAAGGTTATGTTATATTAATAATAACATTCTCCAAAATGAATAATCCAACATAGATGTTTCCTGAAATTTTGCTTGAATATTGTATGGAGAGAAGTTTCTAGGGAGGTTAGGGGCTCAGCCCAAAGTGGCCCACTGAGAAAAAAAGATAATACTGAAGTATCTTTGAAATCTACTAAGTTTGACCTTAGAAGTTCATGTGCATTATATTCTTTAAAACATTCGACGTTAGTTAGTATTCCTTGGTGCCTCAGGAAGGAAAGGCAGCTTTACCTTTTAGCCTTAAATATTTTCTATTATCTACTTACAGAAACTGAGGTGGTCCCTGAAAGTGCATGCCCAGTACCTACCTCCTGGTCTCTGGGTCTCTTTATTTGCTCCTTCACAGCCAGTTTTTCAGAGGCAGGGGCTGAACACCAGCTCTCTGCAGAGAAAATATGGTAGAACTTAAGATGAAAAGAGGAGAACTTTAAGATTAGCTTCACTGGGTTAGCTGATCTTTTTAAATGTCTCAAGCCCAAGGGTATTAAGTAATTGTATTACAAGCCCTAGCATTTAGCTTCTTTTTTTTTTTTTTTCAGTTGTACCTTATTTTCTTTTTTTTTTTCTTTTTTTTTTTATTGAGTTTATTGGTACATTTAGGGATACAGTACAGTTACATTCATTGTTGGGATCATGTACCTTTACATGGCAAGTCTTGATTCTCATTTTTTTCCCCTTACCTCTGCCCTCCCTTCACCCCCTCCTCCCCTCCCCATCTATAAACACTTTATTTTCATCTTTTCATTCTCTCACATTTTTTTCTTTTCCCTTTTTGTTCTTCCCCTACGTATAGCTTCTTATGTATCATATTATTTACATCCACAAGGCTGTATGAACCATCTTTATACAGAGAGAGAGAGAGAGAGAGAGAGAGAGAGAGAGAGAGAAAGGGAGAGAGAGAGAGAAACCATGTAAATGTTTCTGTAAGAAAAAAGAACAAGCAACACACATTAATTGGATTCTTGGCAAAAGACTGAGAAAATGTCCCAGAACTGATGAAACAAGTTATTTTTAGACAACTTTGCTCTAAAATATGTTGGTTCCTCTGTGAATGAGTTCATAGCACATACCGCAAACTACTTTGGCTTGGTTCTTTGGAAAAAAAATCTCCATATTTCCTTTTTATTATGTAATAAAATAAAATGAACAGTCTCCCAATGCTGTCTTGGAAACATTCCTCAGTTGAAAGGTATTTTTTTTTGTCAGCTTATCTACATGTTTGCCTTCATACGAGCCCTTTGCTCTACTTTTGTAAAGACATTAATAGAAGTTCTTTCTACTATTCATTAAGTATTTTAGTTGTTCCCACTTTTAACGCACGAGCTCACCCTTATGATTCATCAGACTTCCTACACTACAGTCCTCTGTGATTTTTTTAATGAAAAAGATGAGGAATAACACTTTATATGGCATTGAAAAGTAAGAGGGATTATACCACTGGTAGTTACATAGATCTGTCTTTGTGATAAGAGATGTCTCGGTGATTAGAAGACCTCACCTAGTTAGTCTTAAAACAGAATTAGTCCAGATGGTGCCAGTGGGAATTAAGGGACTGCATGGTCCCAGAGCAAACACAATACCTGTCTTTTGGATGTTCTTAATCTCAGGGGCAAATGAGGGAAATAGGGCTTTTGGAGGGCCAGTGACACATTCCCCAGTGATTACAGTTCCAAATACTGGTGGCTTACAATGGCTCTTTATCAGATACTAGAAATGTGGTCTAAATCACTGAAGGATTACAAAGGGGAAAGGTCTGCTTAAGAATCCCTTGTCATTGAAATTCAGAGGAGTTTTAAAGTCATTTATATATATCTACTGTGGTTTTCAATACTTTTATCACACACACACACACACACACACACACAACTTTCCCCCCTTCTATCTGTTTTACTTATAAAACCTCTTGTTTATGCATATTGCACAAACTTCATAAACTATATGCAACTTGGCAAAATTGTAATGCTTACTTCTTTCCAGTCATCTAGATTTGGTATCAAACTTAAAAGTTAATTCTTGATAAATGTACTGCTTTTAGGGGCTAGAAAATTCAGAGGCCCTGTGTGCTCATAAGATCTTTCTTCCTAAATTATTTTCTATAAAACTAGTAATTTTTTTAAAAACGTTTAGGAAGGGTAAGTTTCCTGCTCTGCCTCCTCCTCAGTCCTCATCCTCTATCTCAATTAATAGTCTTTTTTATATTTTTGGTAGAATTCACCAGTGAAGCCACTTGGATCTGAACTGTTCATTGTGGAAAGCTTTTTTTAAAATTACTACATGTGTAGAGAAAAATAAAGATCAGTGGTTGTCTAATAACATCTAGGTAGTGACTGTTTTCCTTGTGATTGCTACGGATCACAGGGTTTCTTTTTAGAGTAATGAAAATGTTCTATAACTAGATTATGGTGAATGCTTGCACAACTATGTGAAAATATTAAAAACTACTGAATTTTTCCTTGCTTTTCTGGTGCGTGAACCTGATCCATGTAAATGCTCATCCTGTTTTGAACCAGCTAATATCATTTTACTTTTAATTCATATTTTATTTGTCTTTGTTCTTGTTTGAAGCAGAGAACAATACACAAATAATGTACTTACTAATTTAATCTTGATGCTTACTTACAATGAGTCTTACTGAAATATACTTCCAAATTACCTTAAAAATCCTTTGAGGCCAAGTGAATTAAATATTCTCTTTACTGGGGTGTCAGCAAGATGTCAGTATTCCAGTGCTTCTTCCATGGAATATTAACTTGAACAACTATCCATGCATGAAAATACCTTCTCAGGAGCTAAGGATGCCAGGAGAGAGACTGCACACCTGTGTATAACACAGAAACGGGAGAAGACATGCTGAAAGGGGCAGGGGCAGAGAGGACAGTTTCACACCACCTGGTTCACCTTTTCCTAAACCTCAGATAGCACAGAGGGAAGGAGACAAAGGTGAGCACATGACTTTGCTTCAAATCCTAACACTGGGCTCAGTACATTAGAATTCATGGCAAGGCAGGCCCTATAGCCTCGAGTTCCAAACTGTTACCTTAGGACTGTGCCAGCCCAGTGCTAGGCCAGATTTCATAAGCCCACACTCCAGTCTTTCATGGTGGACTCAGGTGCTGGCTCTATTCTACTACAGGCCATACCAGTTAGCCCCAGGTTCTAGATCAGCTCCGGTACTGGTGGCCCTAGTGGCCTTGGGCTTTGGGCCTATCTCCAAACCAGGGAAGCCCCCAGAAATTTGGCCTCTAGGTCTTTCCCAGGGCCACGCCAGCCTAGCAGCTCTCAGCACCATGCTAGCACCTATGGTCCCAGGGCTCATGCTTTCCTTAGTATCAGGCTGGACCCCATAGCCCTACTCATCAGGCTGGATCACATATAGCCACCTTCAAGACTTCTCCTTGTTAATATATGACCCAGCCTACCCAGGAGCAGTATAGCCCTAGGTTCAAAGCCAGGTAGGTCCACACAGCCCAGGCATCAGGTCCATCCCAGATCCAGGTTGACACCCTGGGCTCAGCCACCATGCCAGCTGCCATGAACACAGGCTCTGAATGCCTGCCCACTCTCAGGCAAGCCCTGAGCTCCAAGCCACAGGTCCAACACACCCAGTGTGCAGGCCAGTCTGTGTAAACTTAGGGCCACAGCCCACCCACATGAATTCAGAGTTCAGGCCTGCCTCGGCTCAAGGACAGCTTCTGAGAACTTAGGTCTAGTGGACACAGGCACCAGGACCATACCAGCCTTGGCCAGCTCCAAAAGACCCAGATCAAGGGTTACCCAAACCAGATTAGCCCTGTGGATTCAGGCTTCAGATTAGTCCCATATGGATATAGGCTCCAAACTCACTCTTGCAAGCCTCAGCTCCAAGCCCATTCCCATAGACTAAAGCAACAGGTTTATTTCAGTGGACCCAGGATCCAGGTCCAAGTCTGTGGATGCAGGCACCAGGCCAGCAGGACCCCAGCAGCAAGACTGACCATGAAACATGGCACTGGGCTGGCCTAGAAGTTCTGAACGGGCTCAGTAGTAAAGGTCTTTCCCAGTCAAAGGCAATCTCTAAAGCCTGGAATAAGTTCCTACTATCTCAAATGTGCAGACATCAATACTCAAGTACAAGAACCAAGACTAACTCAGGAAACATCCCTACCAAAGGAACAAAATAAATCATTAGTCACTAGCCCTAGAGAAATGGAGATGTATGAACTGTCTGATGAAGAATTCAAAATAATAGCTTTAAAGGAACTCAGCAAACTTAAGGAAAATACAGATAAACAATGTGACCATATCAGATAATCAATAAATGACTGAAAGAAAAAAATTTAACATATTTAGATTATTTTAAAAAAATCAAACAGGGTCACCACTTGCCTCACAAGCACAAGGTCCTGAGTTTGATCCTCAGTAAAAAAAAAAAAAAAAAAAAAAAAAAATCTAACGGGCTGAGGTGTAGCTCAGTTGCAGAATACATGCATCACCTCTATGAAGCCTAGGGTTCAATTTCTAGCACACCCACATTTCAAAACAAAACAAAACAAAAACCAAATTCTGGAGACAGAAAACATAATGAATGAAATGCAATAGGAGAACTGGTCAAGCAGAAATAATATGAACTAAAAAAGTAGGTTATTAGGGATTTAGCTCAGTGGTTCTGCTGCCTGCTTTGCAAACACAAGGACCCAAGTTCGTCCCTGGTATAAATAAATAAATAAAAGTAGGCTATTTGAAAATTTGCAATCAGAGAAGGAAAAAAAAGAGTAAAACAAAATGACACAAGCTTACTAAATTTATGGGATGGCAGTTCAAGGAGAATAGAAAGACCAAATAGTATAATTGTAGAAAACTTTCCAAGCCTGGAAAAAAATTACAAGTATCCAGGTAAAGGAAGAATAAAGCTCTTTAATCAGATTCTATCCAAGCATGATAACACCAAGACATATTATAATCAAACTGTCAAAAATCAAACACAAAGAAAGAATCCTGATAGCAGCAAGAGAAAAGAAGCAAATCACATTCAAAGTAGTTAACAATAAGGCTCATGGAATATTTTTCCACCAAAACCTCACAGGCAAGGAGAGGAAAATGACACAAAGTGCTGAAGAAAAACAGGCCAACCAACAATGTTGTTCCCAGAAAAACTGGCCTTCAGAAATGAAAGAACTATAGAGAATTTTCTAGACAAACAAAAACTGAAGGAATTAATTAGTACAAGACATGTCTTACAAAAAAAAAAAAAAAGCTAAAGGGAATTCTTCAAGCTGAAAAGAAAACATGAATTAGTGACAGGAAAATATATGACACTATAAAACAGTGAACACAATTAATCTCAGAATACTTAGCCAGGTGCATACCTGTAATTGTAGCACTGAAGACTGCCCAGGCAACTTACAGTCTTAGTGAGACTCTGTATCAAATAAAACATTTTCAAAAGAACTAGGGATGTAGCTCAATACAAAGGCCCTGAGTTCAATCTCTGGGACCACAAAAAAAAGACAACAGAATGCCAAAACTAACAATAAAAACAAAAAACACTCAGAATATGCTAATAGTTTAATATTGCAATGGCGAAGTATAAATCACATTTGGGAAGGGATATACAATATAAAAAATGTAAACTGTTTATCACAAACATGAAATGGGAGAGGGCAAAATAAAAATGTGGTATTATTTTATGTGATCAAAGCTATTAGTTTAAAATAGCCTAAGATATTTTAAATAAGCTTCATAACTACAAAAAAAGTATCTACAGTAGAGACACAAAAGATAAAAACTAAATAATCAAATACAGTACTAGTAAAACTAATCAGAAAGGAAAACAGTAAGAGGGGAAAGAAAGAACAAAGGAGCTATAAAGCAAGCAGAAAACAGTTAGCAAAATGGCAATAATCACCTTAAATATAAAAAAATTTCCTATCAAAAGATATAAAAGTTAAATAGATTAACAAAACAAGACCCAAATATACCCTGCCTACAAAAGATCACTTCACTTTTAAGGACAGATATATTGAGTGAAAGGACAGAAAATGTGCTTAGACCCGTAATGTCCCCTAAATCCTCCTAGGTTCAGATGGTGACTGAATACATGAAAGGGATTGGATCATGGTGGTGCTATTCTCATAAGTGCGTCGATCCAGTAGAAAAGAGGGAAGGAATGCAAACTCAACAGTCCGAGCAGTTTTATTGCTGCTACACCTGAGAGGGACCTCTCTGTGCTAGCAGAACAGAGACAGTGTCTCCTACAGGATACAAGGCTTTTTTAACCCGCAGAGCGTAACATTGAGCTCCACAAACCCATCCTTTACTTTCCTACTAAAATTTTTTTACTTTAGCATAATAATAGCTGGCCCTGTGTCTTAGTACTTTTGGCTGAGGCATACAGGAAACAATCTTTGTATTTACCCACTTAGTATGATAAAAGCAGTGTGTACACCTGTGCAAAAGTGTCAAACAAGGATTTACACCCACATTATGCCCCACATAACAGTTTTTGCATATGTTTACCTGAGCATCACAAAGAGTATAATACACCCACACCATGCTAGGATTTTTTTTTAAGTTTTCTTTTGATTTTTCCAGTAGAAGTAGCCCAATTCAATACAATGGTGTGTGCAAAACCAGATTTGCAAGTTTTGAAGGAAGTCAAAAGTGAATCATCAGATTACTCATGCATGGATGATGAAGATGATCCATTATGCCAAAATATATGTTTCCATAACAGAAGCATGGTGTGGGTGTGATGATGAGGATGATGACTTTGATGTTGGCCATGCAAGCCGAAGTTCTTATGACAGTGAAATGGAGCAAGAATCTACTGATACAGACACAGGGACTGCAGACCTCCTGGATTCAGATGATGAAGAAAACAGCAATGTGAGTACATAATTGACTAGTCAAAATGTTGTAAAATGGTCATGTAACCAAATGGAAAAATCCAATGTTAGAACCAGGTCCAAAAATACAGTGAGGGTCTTGGCAGGGGTAAAATGTATTGGACAGAATTCCAGCATTGCCATTCAGTGAAATGCTACAAGATGCTGTGAAATACACAAAGACTGAAATATAGGTAAAACATTCTGTATGGACCAACAGCTATATTAAAAAATGTATTTATTATCATTAGCTGAACTGAAAGCATTTATAGGTCTGCTATACTTAGCAAAGATTTCTCATGGTAATCACAGTAATGTAAAAGAAATGAAAAAACAATGGGTCAAAATATGGCATAAAAATTTATGCCCTCGTAGATGCAAAGACTTATGCCTTCAGTTTAGAAATTTATCCTGGAACTCAGCCATTAAGTCCTTATTCATATAGTAATAAACTGGAAGATGTTGTGAACAGACTTGTTGCTCCCATATGCCAAAGTAATTGGAATGTGACATTTCACCATTGGTTTACCAGTTTCCAATTGACTCTACGTTTGCTAACAGAGTACAATTTGAGTACAGGAACTAAGCAGAAATTTGAAATTCCAAATGAAATGTTATAATTTCAAAACAGAGTTGTATAACACAATCTTTGGATTTCAGAAAGATTTACATTGGCCTTGCTATGGCAAAGAAGAACAAGCTGTTACTGCTGACGTCAACATTGCACCATCATGAAATACTTATAAGAAAACTTCAACAAAACAGATGTCTGAGAGAGAAACTTTCTATAACAAAACCAAAGGCAGAGTCAATGTTGTTGATGTGTTATGTAGCAACTGTGTTGTCACTTGAAACACAAATCACTGGCCCATGACTGTGTCTTACAGAGATTTAGCTCAGTGGTTCTACCACCTGCCTTGCAAGCACAAGGTCCTGAGTTCGATCCCCAGTACCAAAAAAATAAATAAAAAATAAAATAAATAAAAAATAAAATAAAAAAATTTTAAAAAGATATGTGGCATAAATAGTTCGATAGTTTATAAAGTAAATAGCAAGTGTGAAATACCATGAAGAGATTTCTTAGAGGACTGGGACTGGAACTTATATGAGGTCATTTATAGCATAGGAAAAACAAAATGTTTCTGTCCAGGGAACCATGCAAAAAAAATTGAGGTGCACACTGGTGAGCTGACAGATGGACAGCAAGTGCAGCATCCCAAAGACCTACTATGACATCATGAAAACCAAAAAGATGTCAACTGTGTCCTACAAGGACAGGAAAACAAAACATACATGTTATCAGTGTAAGGCACACTTGTGTATGGAACATGCAGTTTTCATATCTGAAGACTGCCTTGGGTGTGACAGTTGAAGCAAACATTATTTTTGCTGTAGGATTATATTGGTGTTTTCCTTGTAGTTCACATAAGTTTTCATTTCTGACATTATCTTTTAGGTTTTGTAAACCTAATACATAGCCAATGTAAAAATGTTGATGCTTATTCTAAACATGCAACACACATTAAGAATTGATTATTTTACTGATACTTTATATTCCTGTTAACTACACACTGTATAATATAATAAGCACCTCCTGACAAAACGGCAAGACAAGTGGGATGTGAAGAAAGCAAAATTCATGTGCTGTGAGTGTAAGCAATATGTGTGTATGGACATGCTCTTGTCATGTGTGAAGACTGCCTTAGGTTTGATAACTGCAGTAAAGATTATTTTTTTTTGTAGAGTGCTATTGGTATTTTTATTGTAGTCCATATAGGAATTTATTTCCATTGTTTTTAGACTGTACACCAACAGTCCATTTTGAAAATTTTGATACTTTTTTATAAACACTCAATAAATATTAAAAATTCAATACTTTTTGTGATTTTTCCCTGTTAAGAACTCAATGTTTAACATAATAAAACTCTTAAAATTCACAATTCATCAATAGAAATATTCTAAAGAATAACTGCATATTTAAACCCATGTTTATGCTCCTTTATGACAAAATTAGTATTATGCACTGTGGTTTTATTTTAAATTGTAAATAAAAAAATTGATTTCAGAATCTGAGTTCACCATTTATAAAAACACCAAAGCATAATCCATGCAAATTTACATTAAGTATAGGTACAATATTTTAATAAAATGATAATCTTTCTAAAAGATCAGTGTTCATTTGAAATGAGAAAATGAACACATTGTCAGATGTTAACACAAAAACTTCGAGAATATCCTGATTGTTAAAAGAATCTGACAACTAATACTTCATTCTGATCTCACTGGGATTCTAATCACCCAAGTGATGACTGCATCTTCCCTATCATAAAAATTCTAAATTCCGAAGGCCATTTTCACAACTGTAGTATGTCTATCACCCTCCCTATTTAAGAAACCATTTTCTCTGAAAGAGATCTTAGCCATAACTGCTCAAACTGGGGATCCATGCTCACAGGTAAGGGATGGCTTCAGAGCCCAGAGCTGAACAAGCTGTGGAGAGATCGGATCAACAGGTTGTCTGCTGTGAACATCTTGTTTTATGTACTGGCTAAATCATAAGCACAAATTTACAAACTTGGATTCAATTTCAAGGAGCTCATGGTACATAGTTGGAGTACCTCTGAGTTAAACACATAAAAACCTGAATACAAAAACCTGGAATGTAATGTTCTTGTGACCAAATGACAGATACTTTGAGACACCTCACTTCAGTTTCATTTCAAATGCCCTGTCCCTGTCACAGTATAGCGAGCTAACAGAATATTCTCTCCGCTTGACACTTGCAGCTACAGCTGAGTACTGCTTGGTTGGGATGGCTTGAACTCCACCTCCTTTCACATCTTTACTTGGACAGCCACGAAAGCTGTTCTGTAGCAATTAAATCAATATTTAAAATACAGTATCTGATTTGTGGGTTTTACACAATTGAAAAAAAATCTGCAGAATAAAGTGTTTATGTCTTCTCTCCATTCTAGTGAAGTGAATTACTAACTCCTAACTTCTAAAAACTTTATAGTTATGAATTAAAACCCCATCACCCTATTTCATCATTGAAGAGAGGCTGTTTCCAGTGGACTTATGACGATGCGCTGTCATACCTGGGAGCAGGAGGAGAAAGGCACACGCGGAGACAATGGTAAGAGCTGACAGGTGTCCCACAAGACCGGCTGAGTAGGTCACAAGCTCTGGTACCACAGCGGCTTCGAGGAGTACCTCCGGTCTGCGGCTCCATGCTTGGTTCACTACTGAAACTATGTCAAGGGCAGATTCACTTTCAAAAAGACAAGATTTTCAAAATGCTCCATCACGAGCCTGGGCTGGCCGAAGCCGCCCTTCTCTGAGGGCCTGATGAACCGCTTCCGGGAGGTGAAGCACACCCGCCGCGCCGGACAGTACAAGCACTTCCGGTTCCGGGAGTGAGCTGGTGGCGGCTGCGCTACAGCGCCTCTTCCTCCGGGTGGGCAGCGCTGGGCCCTGTGCTGCTTCTTCCTGCCTCCTTCCTTTTCATCTGGCCGCCAGCGACAGTAGGTCCTTCAGGGAAAACCACCAGGTTTTGTTTAATAGCGGTTTAGGGGCAGGCTTTTGAGGGGGTGGGTTGGAGAAACAGTGGGCTGATAAGACCTTTTGACTTCTTTTTTTTTTTTTTTTTTTGGTACCAGGGATTGAACTCAGGTCCTTGCGCTTGCAAGACAGGCCACCGAACCGCTGAGCTAAATCCCTGGCCCGAGGCCTTTTGACTTATGTAACCTGCTGAACATGTTCTCTGTGACCAGTTACTCTGTGTTTCTTTGACGTGGCAGGTGGGTTCGTTGGAACTGGTGGTGTCTCTGCCTGGGCTCTGTAAGATCCACTAAAAAATGACTTCAGTAGCTAAATGTACTATTAGATAGGGACTGGTCAGAAGAGATAGGTTCCTGAGGGTGTGAGGTGGAAGGGTATACAGTGGACCCTTGACTTACGAATTAAACTCAATTTGTTCCTGAGGACTGGTTGTAACTCAAGTTGTTCAATTGAAGGCTTAGGCTCCTCTACGTAGCCTTTAAAATGTCTCATATACAGGCAGATCTCAGTGACCTTAGAGAAATATTGGCCCAGGACTTCTCAATTAACCCCACATAGGAAAGGATGTTGTCATGTTCCTTCCAGAACCCTTTAAGAGTTGAATCTGTGTCTGAGACCATCTGGAAGCACAAGTGGCCACCATTCGTATTGCAACTCAAGACTTTGACCATAAGTTAAAACTAAAATTCCAGTTGTAATCCAAGTTATGTCAGCTTGGTCGTAACTCAAGGGTCCACTGTGTCTCCTTCCTGGGTTCCTCTCTTTGCTTCCTACTTCTTGGTCGCCATGATGTGAACACCTTTCCTCTGCCAGACCCTTCTGCCATGCCTCTTCTGCCTTGGAACTGACCAAGGACTGTAACATGGGCCAAAATAAACCTCTCCTCCTTTAAGTTGTGTGTGTTAAGTGTTTTGTCCTAATGACTAAGAAGTGACTAAGGCAAAAAAAAGTCATTTCATGCAAATGAAAACCACAACACGGCTATACTTAGCTGAGTTTTGCTTCCTATTACCCTAACAATGTAAGCATATTTGGAAAGCTCAGCTCAGCTTTTCTTTTCAAATCAAAGAAAAATTGCAAGAGGTATTGTGTGTACAAATGTGCAACAGAAATAAGACCACTTATAGGATCAATTCTGAAAAATTGGCACCTGAAAAATCAAAGTTTTAATTTCTCCCAAACAACATGAAATTGGAATACATAGGATTTGAAAGGATTATAATGTTAATTACTTAATTGAAGATTTAAAATCTTTTTTACACCAACCATTTTAAGGTGCTGGAAAGGAGTCCACAGTGCAAAATATGATAGTTTTACAGTTTTGTGTAAAATTGTTTTCCATTTCAACTTCCTCTAGACAAAGGATATTTGATGTTGCTGAGATTTCTAACCATGATTTTGATAGATTGTTTATGGACTGATCTCTCAGGTATGCCAGGAAGGTAGGTAGCTCTGTGTGAATGCCAGAATTCCCTGTTCTTTGTCTGGGTATTAACAAAATTTGCCACTTCTGGGAAAAGTAATCCTTTCAAAGCAGTACATTGTTCATTTGTAAAATCACTTGTTTTCTAAAGCGTAAGACCACCTTCTCTCTAGAGTACTACTCTAAATCTCACTACTTTACCAAACTGCTTTTTTGTACAGCTAAGCAACGTAAATACCTCATCAATCTCCTGATTTTGTGGCCAATCTTTAGAAATGCTAATTTGTCACATTTTTGGAAACTCATTTGTTCATTGGTAGTGGTCTTCTCCAGTAATTCTCAAGTATGTCATTTAATGAAAGCAATACCAGCAATCACATTGGTACATAGCTCTTTCCTTGTGGGACTCTCAAAATGCTTTCCAGATCGGGAGACGGTGGGTGTTTTCAATACTTCCTTGTGAAGAGAAAAGGGGAGGGAATTGACTCCCAGTCAAGGTAGGGGGAATTAAGGCTTACAGGATCAAATCATTATCCCATGTCATTCCATGCATCTGTGTTACAACATTCTGACTATGTTTTCTAACAAGCTGAAATTCACCTATTTGGCAGGGACTCCTCTGACACTGGCTCAAGGAGCCATCATATTGTCATCACTGCTGGCTTTGACAAGTTCCAGGGGTTGAGAAATTATTCTTGACATGATGGGAGGCATTTTTATGTTCTGTCATCAGAAATACATCATTTCCTTGTAAATAATACTGCCTCACCCTTGGCTCTTGCTATTTAGTTTCATGGTTTATTTTTTCCTATGACACATGGTGTACTTTTGGTGTTGAATGTTCCCCCAAAGGCCCATGTTTTAAAGACTTGGTATCCAACCTGTGTCACTATTGGAAGATGATGGAACCTTTAAGAGGTGGGGCTTAGTGGGAGGTAGTTAGGTCATTGGAAGTGTGGTTTTAAAGGGAATTATGAACAAGACCACTCTTTCCTCTTTTCCTGCCTGGCCACAGAAGTGAGCAGTTTCTTTTCTCACACACTCCCCCCATTGTCATCCAGCACCCTTACCAGAGGCTTAAATGCAAGGGCCTGGATTAAAACTGCATTTTTGTAGATTATTAGTTGGAAAATCCTGAGCAAATTGTTCAGCCTCTCTGGTTTTCAGGTTTGTTGGGTATACAGTAGAGCAATAGCACTTACCTTATAGGTTGATTAACAATTAGTTGACATCAGATGTTCAGCCAGACATATGACCTGGCTAACATTAAGCACTCAAAAAAAGAGTGTTTGAAAAAATACTTTACTATCCAAGTTGTCCCTCATCTGTCAAGTCAGAACTCAGAATCTTCTCCCCAACCACAGATATTTAAGCCCCGGTGCTAAGTCACATTTCTCCAGTAGCTAAGGAAAGACCTGGGTGCAGATTCCAGGCTTTGAGGGTAGTGGGAACATGCATAGGAATCCAGAAAACCAAAAGCACAGCCTTCAAGAATACCTGGCTCCATAAACAGCAGCTATCAGCCTGCTTCATACCACATCCCAGTGGGGACAGTTTCTGAGAAAGGAGGGGACATGTTCGTGATACCCTACAACATGTGGCTTTCAACACAAAGGAAAAATAGGGGCTCTGGCCACTCTAGCTGCCCTTTTTGAAGTTGGTTCTGTTGAACAGTGCTTTTCCTTTATTTGGGCAAGATAGGAAATTGGATGGGTCCATTGCATCCCTGGATCCCTGATTGCCAGCTTTTTCCCACCCAGAGTGTTGAAATAAATTTAGAGTAGAAATAGTTGATTAACTCAGCCCAGCCTCTGGACTTCTGAGAAAAAGACCAGATCATTTGTGGCTCTCCTTCCCTAGTGTTTATGAGGAAGAATACTTCTGAAAGCAAATGAGTACTAAGTACAGAATCTTATCAGCTTATTGGTGTGCAGAAGGAATATTTCGGCTATTAAGCAAATGGCATTTTAAAAATGCAGTATTCAAGTTACATTGATAAGCATTCCTCACACCTTAAGGAGTGGGTGCATGTAGAGTGCTTCAAATGGTTACTGATATAAGGTCATAAATGAGGCAAAGATATGAACACTTCTCTTGAATTGTTTGCATTTTGCACATGTGAGATATTGTTATCATTATTCATACTGGGGCTGTATTTTTCAGATTAGGGAAGGGCTAAAAGAGTTTCAGAGACAGAGTTATTAGAGGGGGTAGGAACCAGCAGTGTTTTTCAGGTTCTTGTCCCGATTAATGAATTGGTCAGGACTGTTGGTGGATGTGAAAGATTACCATTTATTGTAGGGCAGAAATGAGAAAAGGAAAAGGGAAAGAAATATTCAGGGAGAAAAGGAAAAAAGAAAAAAAAATCTGTCCTGTGAGCAGAATGGACCAGTGCAAGAATAAGAGAGCCGTGGCACCAGTCACTTGCTGCCATCCTTTTGTCTTCTTAGCTGATCCAAGTGGTCCCATTTCATCTGTGTCTGAAGACTGGTATCAGGTGCCAGGCTCAGTGTGTTCTCATATCATTGGCACCAGATGCAGGGCTCAGCTTGATCCTGGGTCAGGCTCAGGTGCTGTTGCTCTGCACTCATGGTTAGTAAGTCTCCTCAGTTGGTAGGTTGCACCCAACTGCCCATGCCCTCAACTCCTGCTCCAACAGGGCATGCACACAAAAATTTGTTCAAACACACAGGTGCATGCATACATCCTGCCATTGCAAAGCTCCTGTGTCCTAACTTCTGCTCTTTGGACTTCTGGAACCCCTGACCCCATAAACTGCTTTCCCAGCTCTGGCCTTTGCTGATGCTACACTCAGGGATGCTAGGAATGCCCTCCCTCCCCTTCCCACTTTATCTCTCTCCCCAAATCCTGCTCAGTCTTTTAGGCTCCAGTCCTGGGGCCTGAGGAATCCTTCCCAAAGCACTTCACAGTGACCTGCATTCCCCTTTCTCTAAAATTCTGTGACATGTTTGTGACATCCTTGTTTTTGTTTTTTGTTTTTTTGGAAGTTTGTAGTTAAAACTGGAAGATGGAATAAACTAGTGTCCTGGACTTTTCTTACTCCCTTACCTCCAGTGTGGCAGGGAATGTGTGTGGTTCCTGCACAGGAAGGTTAGAAATCCTCTTATTCCTTCTTCTTCCCATAGGAAGCA